AACATTTTCTTTTTTTTTGGCCGGAACTGGGCTCGGACGCTCACCCTGCGGAATGGTAGTGCGCACTTCTAACCACTACACCACAGCGATCGCTTAATTAATTTTAATCATTAATCGCGATTAACCATTTATTCGTTAATTTTTAGTCATTCATTGACTAACATTTTGTCGACAATACTCGCATAAGATAGTCCCAAATTTTCACAAAAGAGAAAAGTGATTTTGTTCAAAACTTTTGAATGACGTGTTGACTGAACTTACTAATTCGGAATTTCTACTATTACTTATAGAGTAGGCTATTCATAAAGTCTGGGTAATGAAATAAAAATTTTTCTATTATAAGTTCCATAAATATAAGGAGACTTTTATTGTTTAATTTATTTTTTGCACATAAACTTGTATCTTGAACTTCTTTTTCCAAAAAGTGAGGATGTCAAAATTTCAATAGATATCGGAAAGAGATCTCCTAATAGATAAGTTCATGAAAATTATTCCAAACGAAAACTTAAAATTGATAAAAAAAAATAATAACTAAATTTAACTAATTTATATTAGAGGTTTGAAGTTTATCCCACTGTAAGTATGAAATCTTCAGCTATGTGTTTCCATTGTCATTTTTTCGTAGCCATATCAACAGCCTGACAATTAAGAAGATTGTGACGTTTCATGCTACCATACGCAATCTCTTAAATCCTTCAAATTTTATTATTAACCTTTTGTTTGTTAAAAACATTTTCTTCTTAGATTCGAAACTTGATCAAGCAAAATTGCCTTTGTGTTTGACTAAGAGATGCTCAATAAGCTCAGAATTGTAGTTCTCATTTGCATACATAACAATAAATTATTAATTTTTGTTTCACACCAACTCCAATATTGAATAGTAAAATATATTTTAATCTTACCCAAATAAACAACGATTTAGTTCAATGGTCAATCACATATAGAGTATAGGGTGGTAATGTGTTAAAGTTTCAAAGTTTTTAAACGTAAAATTACGGCTAATACCTTTTTAAGCGTTTTGTAATTTAACCAAAACTCATTAGCATCCACTCAAGCAAGGAATTATTTACTTTTCAACATGCATTAGCAGAGTGCACTTCTCTTTTGTTTAGAATTCGGTTGTCAAACACACTACATCGGATCTTTTGACAGATTTACCAGAATTTTCCACCAGGTAGCTTCTGACAAAGAGATGACCTTACGTACTCTCTTATTTGTCCTCTCAGTTGCCAGAAAACCAAGTACGATTTCCGGTAAAATCTGGAAATTCTGGTAAAAAATGGTAATTTCGGACTCATGCGGGTTCACAACTAAATAATATTGGGAATACTTTTGAGGTGTTTGAAGAGGGTTGCGACCTGTTTAAAACTAAATTTATTTATAATAATCATATTTTGGCCTTGCCACTTTTGCTAAGTTTTGGCCGAGCTTCTCCTCCGATTTGTAGCGTGCGCCTTTGCTGTCACACAAATGAGAGGGACCTACAAACTTACGCCGAACGGCGATACAATTTTTATGATGAGCTATTTTTTTATTAAAGACACTAAGATTTTTAAAATATTTTCAATAAAATTTTATCAACCTAAATGTAAAGCTTATGCGAAGTAGTTATCTAATTTAATGAAAATTTTAAACATTTTGAAGGTAAAACATGAATTATATTTAAAACGTAAATGTTAATACAACTGTTTTATATATAATCCCAAACATATGATATAAAATCGCCTCTACCAAAAAACTTAAATTGGGTAACGCCGGTTTGAATTTTTACAATTGAGCAATTGTCAAAAATCTTCCTTTTTATCAAAAAGTTATTTACCAGGGTGTCTTTGAACTAATGATTGGTACTGAGTTAAAGAATGCACACACATAAAAGATTGCAGCCTTTTCAATACTCATTCAGTGTTAAACCTTTTTTTGATTGGGCATTGGTTTTTTCAATCTTGCTATGAATATGTTGATGTGTGAATTCATAACTGCTTTGAGAGAATGGAAAATTCAAAAATTTTAAACCTCAATCCTAAGCGAAGAATAAGTAATGAAAACTGGATAGAAAAAAATTTTTGATTTAAAATTGAAAATGATATCACACTTACACAGCTCTGTGGTCTACTGAGAAAACATGGAAAAATACAACCTTCAATTCATTGTCAAAAAATCAAGAAGAATTTACACACGAAATTAAGAAGAAATCTCTATGGAATTTTCTTCGTTTTTTCGTCTATTTTACCCCTTAGCCCAGAAATGTTTCATAAAGACAATCCTCTTGTTTATATGTGTCATATTTTTCTCTGTGAAGCTCCTTCTCTACCTATATTCCCCTCCCCCTCAAACATTTAAACACACATTTAAACATTTTAAAACATTTTTAATACTTATTATAAGTACTTCCAAGGAATTTAATGAATAATACTGTTTTCACTTTTGTTTGTATTAATCAGTAGTAAATATTTACATTATTTTAGCCTGTATCCATTCGCGGACAGTATTATTTTAAAGGTTTGAACTTAACTTGTCAAACTATTTAAGTATGTATGAACTTAATTGTAAGCGGAACAGTGTAATATGTATGAATTGAGAAAATAATACATCACTCAAAGCGCAGTTAGCGTATGGAGACCACAGGGGGAAAAACCTATTTTCCCTCAAGAGAGGACTGGGTAGGGTGGGGTTACTCGAAGAAGGAAGCGGTAAACTTCTTCACGGACGGATCGAAACTTGGAGAAAAGGTTGGTGGGAGGTTTTTCTGTCGGAAACTCTCCACCGAAACTATATTCAGGCTTCCATACTTCTGCAAAATCTTTAGGTGGAAACAGCTGTCATCAAGGATGCGATAGATTTACTGCTAAAGGGTGTGACGGTGCGCTTAAAATCGGTAAAAGAATGTCTGACCTCTCTATCAATCGCGTTGGAGTGCTTCTTAATAAGGCTAGTTTCGGTTCTGAGTCACAGTGATCTCGCCGGAAACTGCGTGCCTGATTACCTGGCGTCGGAAAGGCACCCTAAAAACGTTATCGCCAAGTAAGGAACAAGTAGGGACGCCTCTGTCCTCCTGCGGTACACTCTTGGATGGTTGGACCTAGTGTTAGCTCGGCGAGCGCTGGATTAGCACGCATATTTCGTACTCGCGATAATGAAATTGAATCATCTACTATATACCTAATAAAATGGAAAAAAGAAAGCGATGCTCCTTTTTCAAGCGCAAGACACAAGTCACCCATCGTTACCCCTTAAATGTGCCGAAGAACACGTTACCTCTCAAGTGCTGATATGCCATTGTCTGATTCGTATTCACGCGGTAAGGCTAGGAATTTCACCTGATCCCTTTTGTATCAGCTGTCAAGAAGAAAATGAGGTGGAATCATCTCCACACTTTCGTTTAGACTGTCCAACCTTCGCGAGGTTAAGATGGAAGCATTTTGGTTCGCACTTCTTAACATTCGCTGACTACATTAAGGCCTATATTATGATTCACTGCTTTCAAGATAGTTGAGTTGTAAGTTGTAAATTGATATTATGGGACACAGCTCAACTCAGCTATGAAAACATAGGTGTCTGGCAGTTGTCTGGCACCAGCATCCTCGGACTTATTAGTAAAACATAATCCATAACTGATCTCCAGTTTCTTGCTTTTAATTGCTTTAATATGCATAATCAAAATAACATTATATGAATAAAATATCAAAATTTGTATCAAATTGCCAACTTTTTCAATGGCTACAATCAACTGAAAATATATGTGAATGGCAATAGCAATAAATAGTTGAGTTGTCTACAAGTTGAGTTGTCTCAGACAGAAGAAGAATCACAAAGGAAAATCTTTTAATTGACCAAGTCTGTCCGTTGCCTGGGGCAACCACTTTAACACAACCCAACCTAACCTGTACTTCTTTGACCTATGAAATAGTTGGTCACATTAACCATGCTAGACAGTATGCAACGGATCGAGAATACTCCCAATGTATTTTCGTTTGAGATAGGGCCCTTTTCAACCAAATTCTGAGATAGGGTGTTTTTCAATAAAATTTTGAAATCGGGCGTTGTTGAAAAGTTGTCTGAGATAGGGCGTTTTCGAACAGGCTGCCGAAATAGGACAATCTTGCACTCAGCCATCGATATGTAGTATTTTCAAAAGAACTAACTACAATTTGACATACTCTGATAACCAGGGAACGGATTTTTAGGACCTAAAAACCTATAAACAAGGCAAAATAAAATAACGTAATAGGGTGGAAAGGGCAAAATAAAATAGCGAAAAAAGCAGGAAAAGGCACTAGGTATTGCAAAAAAGGCAAAAAAAAAGCAAAACAAAATAGCGAAAAAGGCAGGAAAAGGCACTAGGTATTGCAAAAAAAGCAAAATAAGGCACTAAAAAACGACAGAAAATACGAAGAACAATCAAAAAATACATTTATTTTGAAAATGTTTATATTACAAGTAAAAAGAGAAAACCTATGAACTAGTTTCATTATACGAAAAATTTGTACTTTGAATCTTTGACTATTTTATCCTTTCGAGTTTCTAACTCATAAAACTTCAATCTGTATAGTTGTAGTAACATTGAACCACAAGATGCATTTTGACGTTTTCTGGCAGCATTTTCATTCGATTTTCGCGAAGAAAAGCCTTGAATGTACTAAATGTGCGCTCGACGTAAGTTAATACAAGTGGAGCCCAATTTAAATATGGAACGTTTGAAACGTTCATATTATCAGGAATAAGGGCGTTTCCCTCGCCCTTTGCAATTTTATCCACACCCCTTATTGTCTCCAAGCCTACGGTAGCTGAGGAAACGGCTTTGAATTTTACCAACACCAATTTGGCAAGAGGTCCCTGCGCTTCAATAAGCCGCATGGGCATGTGTATATTTTTTAATCATAAAAAAAAAATTGTAAATGCTTTAATCACTTTTTTAAAGGTAGAAAAGGAAAAAAAGGCAAATGTCTTAAAAAAGGCAAAAAAGGCAGCAACAAATGTGTATATATGGAATCAGGGAAAGCTAAATCGTGGACATTCTTAATCGAACTTACTCTATCTCCTAAGTAGGAAAAAAGGCAATTTCCATAAAATCCGTTCCCTGCTGATAACAAATGTTGAACTTAATATTATGCATTCACAACAGCTCATACTCTTGAACTAGTGAACTAGTCGCAACCTACCGATTGATCTACCAGAACTATGATTAACACACCACGAAAATTAGCTGTCAAAAATCTCATGCCCGCGTGAGATTTTGAATTGACGTTTCGCTCAGTGAACATCTAAAAAAAATTGACGGAGTGCGTAAACAAACGGCTTGCGTTTATATTGGACTGTAAAATGACATGTATTAATACACTTGTACATAGATATGTACATATGTAACTTTTAATAGTTTGCCATCCACACTCTTGTGCTTTTTGTTAAAAGAACTCCATGACTACAGTCGCATCGACGTTGTGGTAGTGGGAATTTTCGGTCGCAGCGTATTTTTGCAGAGTCGGCTGCAGATGAGACGCCAGAATGCCACACGGAAATCGATGCTGTAAAATGCATAAATGAAGGGATTTATTGCACTGTTGATCCATCCCAGCCAGGTGAGCACATTTGTTAGGGTCCGGCTGACCTGAGGCGGCTCCAGAAACGGCGTGAGCAGATAATAAATGAAGAATGGCAACCAACAAGCGATAAACCCACCCACCACAATGCTTAAGGTTTGTGTAGTCTTATGCTCCTTTCTGATCGAAATTATGCAATTCGCCATCGAGTTCAATTGTTGATGTTGCGGTTGAGAATCGCTTGTCTGCAATTGTCGTATCAAACCGGGTGGACATGAGTGGGCGTATCGGTGGCGCTTGACGTTCGAGGAGTAGTGAAATACGGCAGCTGGCGGCGATTTAAATGACACTGGCCGCATCAACTCACAGCTATTGCCTTTACCGTCTTGTGTCAACGGTACACTGAGAAGTGGCCGGGCATTCTCCACATCTGGCATCATAACCTCGTGCAGCTTATTAAGTATGGTTTGATTCGGGAATCTGCGCTCACCCGTGCTCTTTTCACAAGTCAGCTCAAAAAAATCCTGTTCAACATATTTGTCCGTATCGGTGGTGGTATACCGCCTTAAGTGCTGAAAATGAAAGAAGTACATTAATCGTATGTACATATGCATGGGAGATGTAAAACTTGTCTACGTGTCTAAAACTATGTTCACATTACCAACATAAAATACTTAGTTTCGTTTAAAATACCTCACTAAATTAAGTGCGTTCATACACGCGTTTCTTTATTAGTCTTGACAGCTTTGTAGCAACCCTGTGTGTGTATTTAACGAAAAGAGATCGCGAATGTGAGTAATTGCGTATATTTTTATATTCTGAGTTGTTTGTGGTAATTTTTTAGATTTTAGATGAGTGATCAAAAGAGAAAGCTTCTGGAAATATTTTACAAACTACCACGCGCGATTATTAAAAACAAAAACGTCCAAACACAATGGCATATCAGTTGTGGGACAATACTTTTTTCGATTATTATCGATAAAATTAGAGCCGACACTGATTTGTTCGTGATTTGGTTCTTGGTTTAAGATAAACTACGTACTTTCATCTTAATTTACTGAGAGACTTTACAAGGCGAAATTACTAAGTTTGTACTTAATTTATGCGTAAATTAAGATTGACCTCTAAATTACGCCATTGGGAACATAGTTTAAGAAAACAAGTAAGAAAGTCTAAGTTCGGGCGGAGCCGAACATTAAATACCCGGCGCAAGTATTAAATATATGTTTTTTCACCTTTCCGAAACCTTCCGCTAGATGGTAAGCCGGGGTGTATCAATTTTGAGTAAATTAGCGTCCTTCAATTTCGAAATATTGAAGTTTCAAGCATTTCTGAAATTTACCGTTATATGAGAAGCGGCCGTTATTTTAGTCCGATTTCAATAATTTTCAACGTTTTGCTTACATGTGGCAAGCACAATAACCACACCGAGTTTGGTACAAATTGGTAGAACGGTTACCGATATACTTATATGTGATCATAAGTGGGCGGTGCCACGCCCATTTTCCAAAATTTTACCATAAACGTATTTCTTGGTAAAGAATTGTTGCAAGCATCAATTTTGAATAAATTAGCTTCAATATTTACTGATTTATCGAAGGTTTTTTTATTTCTAAATTACCGTTATATGGGATGTGGGCGTGGTTATTGTCCGACTTTAAAAAGTTTCAGCGATTTTTTATGCTGTACCAAGGCCAACAACTGTGCCAAGGTTGGAAGAAATTGGTGCAGCGGTTACCAAGATATACACATGTAACCATAAGTGGGCGTGGCTACGCCCATTTTCCAAAAATTTATAATATTCTTATTTTTCGTCTAAAAATTATTGTAAATATCAATTTTGAGTGAATAATCTCCAGTAGTTACTAAAATATCGCAGTTTTCGTATTTCTGAAAATTACCGTTATATGGGAAGTAGGCGTGGTTATTGAGCGATTTTAAAAAATTTCGGCCATTTGGTATGTTATACACATGTAACCATAAGTGGGCGTATCTACGCCCATTTTCCAAAAATTTATAATATTCTTATTTTGCGTCTAAAAATTATTGTAAATATCAATTTTGAATGAATTATCTTCAGTAGTAACTAAAATATCGCAGTTTTCGTATTTCTGGAAATTACCGTTATATGGGAAGTGGGCGTGGTTAAAGTCCGATTTCGCCCATTTTCAATACAAACCTACCTTGGATTAAGGGAAACCTACATACCAAATTTCGTTGAGATATCTCAATTTTTGCTCGAGTTATCGCGTACACAGTCGGACGGACAGACGGACAGACGGACGGACAGACAGACATGGCTTAATCGATTTCTTTTTTCATCCTGATCATTTATGTATATATTTGTCTATATCTATCTCGATTCGTTTTGGCTGTTACAAACAACCGTTATGTGAACAAAATAATATACCCTTGTGCACAAGTGCGCTCGGGTATAAAAATCGCGGAGTCAATTTCAATATACAAATTTAAAGCATTAAAAAAGTAACAGTGAAGGATATGTTGAAAATATTCCCAAGTTGTGGATAAGTTCTAGGACTTAAAGTACATTTACATATAAATATAATCTGAATCAAGCTCGCTTGTTAATCACCCCGTTTACACAAACAAACGTCAGATTATTAGCCGACAGATTTGTTGTGCTTGTTATTCTCGCAACTCAAAGAAAAGCTTGGTTTCTTCTCTGTGCAACCGTTGTAACTTTTTTGTTATATTAAGCAATTCAAAAATATTTTAACTTAGTATTTTATTAAAAATACTTTTCCAACCCTCTTTTCCTTGCTAGCATCCATTTTTGTTTACTTTTTAACCGACTTCCAAAAAAGGAGGAGGTTATCAGTTCGTCGGAATATTTGTTTATTTTATTTATTTATTTATTTTTCATATATGTTACCGCATAACTTTGGACCACGTCAACCGATTTCGATAATTCTTTCTTTTGCATCGGAAAGGTAGTGTCTCAGAGGTGGTCCCATACTAATCTGGTTAAGATCCGATGAGTGGATCATGAGATATATATATATATATTTTTTTATATGAGACTTGAAGTCGGTTTTTTTTCTAAAAATTACTTGTACATTTAATATTTCTTCTCTTGTTTGCAATAATAATCGATAAAGCTAGTAGCGCAGTAAAATTAGATAAATTTGCTAGGAAATTAAAAAAAATTGTAACAGCGATTTTTTATGCAGTTTACTTCTATTTGACACGTATATCATGGATCCACAGTCTTGCCCCTAAATTTCATTTGGCAACATTCCGCCATCTTAGATTTAAGTTTTTTTTAGGTTTTTTGCGATTTGCAAGCTTATTTTGCATTTTTCATAAAAAATGGTTAAAGGCAAATCTGTAGAGAATTTAATTTCACACATTTGTCATATAGAAGGTTTTTTTAAAAATAGCATTTTTTATTGTAAATAAATATTCATTTCCGTATCACGTCAACCGATACAGTACGATGGCCAAAATTTTATAGGACGGATTACAGAACTTGACGAGGATTCAGATGCTGAGCTACAAAGCTGGGAGTCTACAGACAATGAAGATGACTTAAATCTTCCAACTTATCCTACAAAACGAACAAGATTCTGATGAAAATTAACCTTACTTCACCAGCTTTCATTAAAAAAAACGTTGCCCGTGGATTAGGCCTACTGGGGAAACCATGTAAAAAAACGCGCCGAAAACTCTACCTCATCGGTGGTATGGAAATGAGTTTTACGGCGCATCCCGTACATCGCTGTGTTTATCGCGTTCCCGGCCGTAATCTAAGCGTCGTACAAGAAAAAAATTTTGTACAAAAGTTGTGGAGAATGAAATTCTCTACAACTTTGGAATTTCAATATGCTATGTATTTTCAACAGAAATTGTCAAAAAATGGCGAAAGCCGTGACAATGTAAATTTTTTTCGTAGTTTTTGCAAATTATTTACAATAAAAAAATGCTATTTTTAAAAAACCTTCTATATAACAAATGTGGGAAATTAAATTCTCTACGTATTTACAATAAAAAAATGCTATTTTTAAAAACCCTTCTATATAACAAATGCAAAATAAGCTTGCAAATAGCAAAAAACCTAAAAAAAAACTTAAATCTAAGATGGCGGAATGTTTCCAAATGAAATTTAGGGGCAAGACTGGATCCGTGATCTACGTGTCAAATAGAAGTAAATTGCGTCAAAAAATCGCTGTTACAAATTTTATTTTATTTTTTGAGAAAAAGTCTAATTTTACTGGGCTAGTTGGACACCGAAAAGTTATCGGATTAATCTAAGACTATTTTATAACTAGCAGACCCGGCGAACTTCGTCCCGCCCAAAATTTTTATATATTTTATTGAAACTTTTTGGTCCAAAATTTTCACCAACAATTCGTTTACGATTTTCATTGCCACATTTATCTGCTAAGATTAAGGTTTGGTGGTAATTTTCCGCTTTAAATAACCTAAGGAAAGTGTTATATCCGTTCTTGAAATTCTCCAGTTGTGCGGCATTTCATTGCACGATTATTCACAAAGCGAAATACATTTTTTCCTCTTCACTCCCTGGCGGCAACAATGATCCGGTTCTATAGTGAATGTCCTAGAAGCTTTACAGTATAGTAGGTGGCAATTTCAAAATGGGTGCGAATCATTGTTTTACAGAAATGCAATATACATATACTTGATTCAAACGAAATACCTTAAAAGTTTGAACGCATAATAATATTGGAAAATCACATCCATTGGGCCAATTGCAACGCAGGAGCGTTCGATATACTAAATGGTGCAACAGGTCGATTTAATCTGACCTTCACGTCCTCTTTTCTCACTTTGCTATTTTTAGTAATAGCTCGACCTCAGCACCACTTGGAAGCACGTTTTTGCAATAGTATTGCATATATATTTAAAACATTAGCCAAATCGGATCATAAATAAGATTTTTAGTAATAACTCAACTACAGCGCCAACTGCCGGATTAAATTGTGAAACTAAACCATCCAGAGACCCACTCAAATACACAAAAAGTTTCGTTAAAATCCGTACAACCATTTAGGAGGATTTCACTCACAAACACACCTACGCCTCACACCCCTTTTCAAATAACCCAAATTTTCTCCATGAGTATGGGCTTGATTTCAACTATATACATATCGCCATACGAAGTTCCAGTACTGTACCATGAATACTTTCAGAGATATGCAGTATAAAAATTCGATTTATATGGGAGGTGCCACGCCCCCCTTTCCAACAGCTGCCCTCTTTCTTCATGAGTATGCGAATGATTTCGTATATCTCCATACCAAGTTCCGGAACTCTACCATGAACACTTCCAAAGATAGGCAGTATGAAAAATTCGGTTTGTATGGAAGATGCCACGCCCCTTTTCCAATAGTTCCAATTTTTCTCCAAGAGTATGCGATTTATTTCGTACATCTCCATACAAAACTCCAGAACTCTACCAAAAAATTTCCAGAGATAAGCAGTATGAAAAATTCTGTTTGTATGGGAGATGTCACACCCCTTTTTACAATAGCTTAAATCTTTCTCCAAGGGTATGCGATTGATTTCGTATATCTCCATACCAATTTCCAAAACTCTACCATGCACACTTTCAGAGATATGTAGCATGAGAAATTCGGTTTGTATGGGAAGTGCCACGCCCCCTTTACATATAAATTTGTTCAGCCTAAAACCATCCTTGGGACACGTGCGGCAGGTGGCAGTTTCAAAAAAATCGGTTCAGCCGCTCTCGAGCCTTGCGAAAACTAACAAACGGCTTTCTAAATAAATATTAGTTGACATATATTATATATTATAATTATATTTTGACAGTATCCGTTGTTTCAGATTGGCGCAAAAAAATCTTGCCTAGTGACGAATTCGCCCCTTGATATGGTCGTTACTTAAAGCTATTTATATTCGAAATTGCATGAAAATTGGAAAACAGGAATCTATAAGCTTATCCAGGCAAAAAGCTACCTACGTACCGAATTTTAAGCAAATCGGACCATAAATACGATGTCTTCGAACAGATCGGTCTCTAGTCCACTTCTCTGACAAAATGGATCATATATGCTAATATATGCTAAAAAGCTACCTACGTACCGAATTTTAAGCAAATCGGACTGTAAATACGATTTATTCGAATAGATCAGTCCCTGGTCCACTTCTCGGAAAAAATGGACCTCATATCCTAATATATGCTAAGAAACTACTTACGTACCGAATTTTAAGCAAATCGGACCATAAATGCGATTTTTTGGAATAGATCGGTCCCTGGTCCCCTTCTCGGAAAAAATTGATCACATATGCTAATACATGCTAAGAAGCTACCTGCGCACCGAATTTTAAGCAAATCGGACCGTAAATTCGATTTTTTCGAATAGATCGGTCCCTGGACCACTTCCCGGAAAAAATGGGTCATATATGCTAATATATGCTAAAAAGCTACTTAAGTACTAAATTTTAAGCACATGGGACTATAATAAGATTTTTTTCGAATAGACCGGTCCCTGGTCCACCTACCCGAAAAAAAGTAAAATTTTTTTAGCCTAAAACATGGTGGTTACCGAAAGCTATTTGTATACAAAATTTTATGAAAATCGGACCAGCCGTTCGCGAGATTACCTGTTACAAAAAAAAGGGACTTCTCTTTATATAATTAGTATAGATAGTATAGATTAACGAGGAACGAATTTTTGTATGGCTAATCTCTGTTTCTAATTACACATTAAGTTAAGCTCGAAAATGAGGGTAATCTACTTATATGTAAACATAGTATTAAATTTTACGGATAAATATAAATAGAGTAGTGGGAAACGCTTATGCTTTACTGCGCAAATTAGGGGTTTGCGCTATATTTACTCCAGTGGAAACCAGGCGCAAATCAGTGCTCCACTAATTTTTGCAATCGTCACCCTCTCTGACGCTGTGTACAGGAAAATAGATTCGATATATTGCTATGAAGGCAAAGGTCTTGGTATGTAGCCCTACGAACTACCTGACAACTAGAAGTTGTATGTTTATGTACATATGTACAAACCTTCTATGTGGACGACGCGAACCCCTCTGTTTGAGAAGTTGATACAATAAAGTTTCGGGGACACCACAGCCTTATCGTTTTAAGGTTTAATTACCATACCTCCGTAAAGGCTGGCCTAAATAGATTCAGCTATAAGACATTAATTATTATCTTTCCTTTTAGGTAATACATAACTCATTGTTCAGGAAAAGTTGTCATTTAATTTAGATTTAGATTTAAGCCATCATTATCATTTTAAATCCCCTGTACAGTATACGATAGTTTAAGTACTATTAAAATACCTCAGCCTCATACGAAAAATAAATTAATATATCACTTTATTGATTTCGCTTTTTAATGTCTTTTATGTTGCAACTTATTAGTCTTAATTGATTTACCTTATTATGTACACTAATGTGAGTCATTTTGTCATGCCTCGTAGCGATGACGCAGGAAATACGAGCATAAACATAAATCATCACAATCATTGGTAGAAAGAAAGAGCCGCAAGCCGAATAGATGACGTATCCTTTATTTTGATTATAACGGCACTCGTTTCGGTCACGTCGACCTGGTTCATACCTATGGCATAATGGAAAAATATATAGAAATAGCTCTAATTCATTTGCAATTTAGATAAAAGGTAACCATAAAAAAGCATTCATTGGCATTTTCAAATATTTTGCAACGTCACCAGCATTCTAATCCAAGTCGTGCTACTTCATTTCCCTAATGAATCCATTACATTACATTAAAGCGCCCAAACTGTGAACAACTTACCAGCCAAGCATTGGCGGACACGTTATGGCCAGTGCCATCAGCCATGCAAAAAGAATCATCCATAGTGCCAAGCGTTTAGAACGACGTTTGCGTGAGTACTTTAATGGTTTTGTTACAGCCAGATACCTGCAAGCATGGTAAAAACTGATTATACATGCACATATAACATACAATGTATGTATGTATGTTTAAGTATGTACATCCAAAGAAGGTAGACCGGAAGCAATCAAAGTGTTGTAGACGATTTCACCCTGCTTCCTAATTGGTTGCGGCAAGCGAATGGGCAAATTGGAGAACTCACCTGTCCACGCTGATGGCACACAAGCTGAGAATGGACGCCGTGCAAAGCATTATATCGAGAGATACCCAAATATCGCAAATTATCCACCCCAGACGCCAAGACCCTAGAATTTGTTTAAAGAGATCAATTGTGCGCAAATATATTAAAACTTACTAACTAAATCGAGATAAATATAGACATATGTATGTAGACAATATACGTGCAACCGTATCAGTACCAAACGGAGGAGAATTCCCCGATTTTGGTGGAATTTGAATTTCTCGGGTGAATCGGGGAATGACTTTAAATTTTGGGGGAATTCAATTTACAAACGATTTTTATTGAAAAATTCCTACTGAGAATAAAATTAGAACTTGTGATAATAATCTCTCATTACGTTATTACGGATTTAAAACATAATGTAGCTGCATGCAACTGTGTGGATATTAAATAAATTGCAACCGTGCTTAGCGACGCTTTTCACTTGACCTTTATATATGACACTCTCATTTTCCACTTCGTTTTCGGCGCCAAGCCAACGTCTGGCAAAGTATTGAGTAGTATAATAAATGTAAGTATTTATCGTTACTAGAAACGACTAAAGACGCGCGTGTTTTGACGGCGAAAAAGGACGCGTAAAAAAACTACGAAAAAGGACGATTAAAAACTTCGACAAGGACATGTAAGCATAGATTTATGCCTGGCCAAGGACTGTCACTTCAGCATCATTTCCCAAAAACTCTTCGAGGAATTTAAATACTGTTACACTCGCAAACATTGTTGACCGCGAAAATAAGTTTACGCGTCTTTCTTCGCCGTCAACTATGTTAAGAGCTTTTTTTCGCTGAATTTTTTTTTATGCGTTTTTTTTCGCGGGCAACTTATAAGTTCGCGCCTTTATTTGTGTCTAATTAATTAAAAAAAAAAACGCAATCAGAAATAGGCTTGGCGTTGAGTCAATTTTACTTACAAAACAACTATCTAAAAATAAAACGCCTTATCATTTAGGTGCGACTTCTGAATAATTACAAAAATTGTATCAAGAAATATATGATTATAGGGAATAATCAATCTATGCCCGGTATTCTTATATGATAGATATGATTGATATTCTCAGAAGTACTAGTTTATTTATTATTAAAATACTGTACTTATTATCTCATTATAAGTAATATTTTTTCCGTTTTTTTTTATAAAAATGAAAATAAAGTAAATAGCAAAATGTTTTTTGGGGGAATGCCATTGAAAATAGGGAATGTTTTCTGGAATTTGGGGGAATTAGCATTAAAAGAGTGGCATCCCTGATAAGTATGCACATATAATGGCGGTTTTTCAATGTCTGATTAATAGCCCTGTTATGCATACTTAGCGTTGCATGAGAGTTGTCACATAAGAATCTGTTAAATGGGCTTTTCGTGTAAGCGGTTACCCAACGCATAGCACTTCACATGTAGAATTCTGTTGGGTTTTGATTTTACGTAAAAATGCTATAGCAGTGCAAGTATGCATAACTGGGCTATAACACAAATCAATGTTGGCAAAATGGTAATCTGATTAACGATTAAAAATTAACGACTAAAATGTTAATCGCGATTAACGATTAAAATTAATTAATCGTAATCATCCGTTCGATTAATGATTACATTTTTTAATCGTTAATCGTCGGTTGTGATTATGATTAATTAATTTCAATCATCAATCGTTAATCCAATTTAAAAAAATTTGATTAAGTCTAGTTTGTCCGAATTTGAAACCAAACACGGTTTATAGTTCCTTTGTTTTGTGTTTAACGCTAATATATAAAAAAATAAGTATTATTATCATTAGTAATGTGGATTTTTATAACCCATCGCACATGTGCAGAGGGATAATAAAAACTAGTTTGCTTAGCGTCTGTTAAAATAGATCTTAATGAAAGTGCACACCAAATTGCTTAGATTTATGAGGAAAACCGACTTTGCCATACCCGTGGCCTTGTGTGCTTAGTAAAATTTCAGCATAAATTAATTAATCACAAAACCTACTTTATCAAATTAAGGGTTAATGATTAAAAATAAATTTTTTTTTTAATCGCGGTTAACTGGCCTTGTGTGCTTAGTAAAATTTCAGCATAAATTAATTAATTACAAAACCTACTTAATCAAATTAAGGGTTGATGATTACAAATTATTTTTTTTTAATCGCGGTTACGATTAACTGTTTAATCAATTTAAAATTAATCATAATTAACTGCAATCGGATTGAATTTGATCGAATTAACAAATTAATTAAAAAATCAACCGATTAGTGCCAACACTGACACGAATCGAAGGTAGAAGCTCTGGTTACAGACAACGACTGCTTTATCGATCACATGTTATATGCATGATATCGAAAACGTCGATAGTGTTGTGGTAGTGATAACCAGACAATGAACAACCGGCCCAAAGTGTTTCCACACATGCATGGGCATAGTCATGAAGGGACAGGAAGATGTTCGGGCTTTATAGTGTCGAAATTTTGGGTGTAAAAAAATTGTTTAGATCCGCTAAATCGCGTTTGTTTGCTATAACTTTCTTTATGTCACTGAAAAGGTCTCGGTCAGGACTTTTAAGTTACACTTCACCAAATTTTGAATTACTATCCCTAGATTTTTATTTTTATACTATAAATCTAAAGCTCTCAAAAACGATGAAGACCATGCTAAAAAGGGTTAGGCTGTCCTCAGTTAAAGTTCTGAGCGAGGCCTTTTCGGTGACATAAATATTTTAAAAATCGGATAGGAAATAGGAAAGTTATAGCAAAAAACGCGATTTTGCGGTTTTGAGCGGGTGCATAAAAAAAATGTACATCCGAAATTTCTTCTCGACATAAGTGTTCAAATAAAACTGACACGATAAATTTTTTTCCTGATACGCCTTAATGTACCTATGTACCAGGGTTGTTGCGAATATTCGCATTCGCTTTCGTATTCGCAATAATCAATGCGGAGCTTTTGCGAATGCGAATGTTGTGCAAGTGCACTGATAAAACTTATATATGGCAAACAAAATGACAAATTGTAGCCAATATTTTTGTCTGTGTTCGTGGGAGTATTTGTGTAACAAAACTGGTCAAATGTCGAATTTATCAACTTTGGTAAAAATGTCTTTAAACATATTATTTCTTAAGCCATATAACCGAGCTATCAATGGGCAGTAGCGTGGGCCGAAAACCCACTTTCTTAGAATTTTGATTGGTAATAGCAAAATTATGGTTTATTATGCTTTAAAAAAAATCTGTGTGAAATTTGGAATTTAAAAATAAAAATTTATAAATAAATTATTTAATAAATTTTTTTACGAAAATTGCAATAATCTTCTAAAGTATCAGTCCTACATAATTTGGTATATGGACCTTTTTTGTAGAGAATCGAAGTTAGCTAAGAAAAAAATTTGTTTAGTACTTGAACTTTGATGGACGTAGGCGAGCCTAGGATATTGACCAAAAATTTTCACATTTCAGACAGATATTTTTTAAAGCATAATGAACCATATTTTTGCTATTACGAATCAAAATTCGAAAACATCGGATTTTCGGCCCCGCTAATGGGCAGCCATACAAGTTTCAACTTCTACTTGACCTTTGATGTACGTCAAAGAGAACATAGTCTTTTTAACAATGTGTTTTTCTGTGCTTTAAACACCTGCATTGCTTTCATTCTTTATTATGACTTTTTTGGACCAATCTTAAAAAAACTAATAGACACAAATGAAGAAAGTGTGCACTGCAATTCTTAACCAAGTTTTCGTGATTTGCTTTTGATGTTACATATATTCGTTTCAATAATTTCAAATGGGGCTCTATGGGGAATTTATTATTAGCAGGGAACGGCTTTTTAGGACCTAAAAACCTATAAAAAAGGCAAAATAAAATAACGAAATAGGCTGAAAAAGGCAAAATAAAATAGCGAAAAAGGCAGGAAAAATCACTAGGTGTTGCAAAAAAGGCAAAAAAAGGCAAAAAAAAATAGCGAAAAACGCAGGAAAATGCACTAGGTATTGCAAAAAAAGCAAAATAAGGCACTAAAAAGACAGAACATACGAAGAACAATCAAAAAATACATTTATTTTAGAAATGTTTATATTACAAGTAAAAAGAGAAAAACTATGAACTAGTTTCATTATATGAAAAATTTGTACTTTGAATCTTTGACTATTTTATCCTTTCGGGTTTCTAACTCATAAGACTTTAATCTGTATAGTTGTAGAAACATTGATCCACAAGATGCATTTTGAAGATTTCCGGCAGCATTTTCATTCGATTTTCGCGAAGAAAAGCCTTGTATGTACTAAATGTGCGCTCGGCGTAAGTTAATACAAGTGGAGCCCAATTTAAATATGGAACGTTTGAAACGTTCATATTATCAGGAATAAGGGCGTTTTCCTCGCCCTTTGCAATTTTATCCACACCCCTTATTGTCTCCAAGCCTACGTTAGCTGAGGAAACGGCTTTGATTTTTTGCAACACCAATTTGGCAAGAGGTCTCTGCGCTTCTATAAGGCGCATGGGCAATGTGTATATTTTTTAATCTTTGAAAAAAAATTTTAAATGCTATAATCACTTTTTTAAAGGTAGAAAAGGCAAATATCTTAAAAAAGGCAAAAAAAAGGAAAATATCTTAAAAAAGGCAAAAAAAGGCAACATCAAATGTGTATATATGGAATCAGGGGGAGCTAAATCGTGGACATTCTTAATCGAATATACTCTATCTCTTTAGCAGAAAAAAAGGCAATTTCCATAAATTCCGTTCCCTGATTATTAGCAAACATTTTAAAAACAATAATTTTGTTTACTTTTCGGGCAATATTTTTTTCATAGGGATATACATTGGATCCTTGGCTATAAACTTCTGCGGTAAAACTGTCCCTTCTTTGCTATTTAAAGCCAAAGAGTAAGCTCCTTCAATAGAGATTTCCGGCAGAAATGATAAACGTCTGGCTGTAAAGAGAATCGATGCTCAAATAATTAAAAAAATATAGATCTGACCTTTAATAAGATAAGAATTACGTAACTATCTGAGATTCAAATGCTTATAAAAAACAGGGTGCTTTTTTTAAATAACAACATTCTGATCTGATTCGGCTGGCAGCCACGACTTTATAA